CTTGTTGCCTTTAGGTCTCTTTCAACCAGCTAGAGCTAATCCTAGAGGTTTTTGTCCCAACGGTTGTGGCAAATGGTTGTCACCCATGTTCCAGAGTTTAGTCTTCTTAAACTAAATAATGACGACACCTCTTCCTCATTCCTCTTTGTGGTGGCTCCGCCTAAAGAAAATGCCAAGATGGTTGTTGCTGCTTTTAAAACTGCCATGTTGGTTATGGGCGTGCCATATTCAATTAAGATTGACAATGGGCCAGCGTATGCTAGCTCTGCTTTTACAGCCTTTTGCTCTAAATGGAATATAACACACACCTTTGGGATTCCTTACAATCCTCAAGGACAAGCCATAGTGGAAAGAGCCCATGCCTCACTTAAAAAAAAATAATTAAAAAGGGGGACATCAGAGATACAAGCACAGGATAAATTCACTGAGGCTCCTTTACCATTAATTTTTAAAATTTTGACAAAAATGGTCTATCTCTGCCTATAAACACTGGGGTGTGGGGCTTCCCTGGATCACCCTTTTACCATTAGTCTACTAGTGGGGTCCTATGGATAATACATGGAAGGGTCCTGCCCGTCCCTCGCCTCCCCCTTAACCACGGGATGAGGGTTCCAGAAGGAACAGACAAGTGGTTTGGGTTCCTGGTTGAGCCATAAAGCCATACATCTTCTCTGAGGGAAATGATAGAACGGCTCCAGATGGCTCTGCTGAATCTATCCCTGGGTGAAGGAGAGGATGGCGACCACCAGTCCATGGTTCCAGAAGAGTAGTGCCATACAACTCCAGCACCAGTATACAGAAGGAATTCATCCTTTCTCTCCTTCATAAGCTCCACCAGAGTGGATGTAATTACCTATCTGATCTGGGACATTTCTCCCAGGATGCGGCCTCCAAACTCACCACTTTATTTTCACCCAATAGCTTGTTTATGCCATGGTAATTGTAGCTTTACTTATTATAGTTTTCCTGATACAGCTTAAAAATTGTGTACACCTCCAAAATCAGTACACCAAAGTTCTCCAACTGGAGATTTTAACCTTGAAATTAAAACAGGGAACCTGTGGGGAATGTTGAGTGAGGTGTCACCAATTCCTATGGCTCCTAGAAAGATCCTGATCCACTTCACACACTATTGACTCACTAGGGACTCCTAGCACAACGGTGGGCGGCGACTCCTCCCCTCTTCTTTACTGAAGTCTCCTAAGGTGACCTGGTTCCCCACCCCATCTCCATTTCCTTATAGTTGCACCAAACTGACTGATTGTTGCTGGTGCTTGTTTCTAGCATGGGGTGGTCTGACGGGCCTTTCAAGCATTTAAAGGCTGTTACACTAGATAGTAAAGTTAGACCTGTACCTTGAGTCTGGTCTCTAGAGTCTGATTCCCGGGATTCTGCTTGGGCTCCATTGCCACTCAATCCCCACCCCCACGTTCCCGATCCCCACAGTGTGGTATGCAAGATGCTACACATAGACACACACAAACAATCTTGTCTCTAAAGAGCTTACAACGTATTCTCAGGGGAGGAGCAAGTCATGAGGAGCAGCAAAAAGCTATCTTGGTTGTTGGCAGAAATGGGGGAAAAGTTGGGGGAGTGCTGAAGAAAGTGGCTTTGTGTAGAGGGTAAGAACAAGATTCTTCCTAAAGGAATCAACTTTCAGGGTCAGGTTGGCACAAGGTGTGCTGATCATTGTGTGTAAAGACCCTTCTCCGCCTGAGCTGTAAATAATCATTTTGTCAAACGATTAACAGTTTGTATGTAAGCATGTCAGTGCAGTGAGAGCACCTTCAAAATTGTATTCTGGGGCTGAGGAGATGACTCTATGGTTACCTCCCACAAAGGCCCGAGGACAGAGTTTGCACCTCCAGCTTCAGCAGTGGGACAGTGATCCCCGTACTGGGAAGCACTCAGCCCCACCAATCGGCAAGCTTTAGGTTCATTGGGATTCTATCTAAAAAACGAAGGCAGTATAGTATATACTAGAGAAAGGCAGCTGCTGAAGAACTCCTCTGGACAGTGCATGCATACGTATGGGCACACAAGCCCATAAACACACAGTTACACATAAAAAAAGGCCCAAAAGTATCAGATAAGGTTGGAAAAGTTAAGTTGTATAAAAGAGACTAGCTGCGTGGGGCTTGCACACACCTTTAACCCCTGCACTCAGGAGTCAGAGGCAGGCAGATTTCTTTGAGTTTGAGGCCAGCCTGGTCTACAGAGCAAGTTCCAGGACAGCCAGGGCTACACAGAGAAAAACCCTGTCTCAAAGAGAGAGAATTAAAACTTGTCAAACCCCCTCACACACACACACACACAGTTAGGATATGGTTGTATGTCCATTTCCAGACAATTAAAACAAGATGTGTTTTGTTAGCATGTAAGTCATATATGATTTTGGTATGTTCACCTCCCATTATTTTAAGATGGTTCATATCTTAAAATAATGATTACTTTGAGTCAGCTCTTTTTCCCTTTCTTTGCTCAGTCCTGATTCTTGCACTGTGCTCATTGAATTCACTTTTCCCCCTTATATTCTAATACAGTAATTTTTTTCACCAACATCTTTGGAGTAGTGTTATGGTTTGGCTCTTCAATGCCCGGCAAAGGGCCATGTGTTGGAGGCTTGGCCCTTCGCTAATGTGCTCTGTGGTGTGGCAGAAACTTTAGGAAGTGGAAGTTAGGTCATTGGAATTCTTGAAGAGGGACAGGGCCCTCCTCCATGCACTTCAGCCACGATAACTCTGTTGTCCCTTACTTTCCACCATGATAGTTTGTCTTGCCGTCAAAGGGACAGAGATAAGAGGCATGGACTGCAACCTTTGAACTATGAGCCCAAATAATCTCTGAAGTTGTTTAAGTCAGAAATTTTGTCATAGTATCAGACAGCTTGACTAGCACATGCAGTAAACTTTGTGAGTTCTGCTTGTCTGAAAATGTATTTCATGCTCAATCTTTATTTGTAATGGTGCTGGAGATTGAACCCAGGGCCCCACAACTGCAAAGCAGGCAGTTTATTACTGACACTTTATTACCCATGCTCAAATGACAGTTTACATAATTCCCAGGTAGTTTTTCTCAGCATCTTCAAAATAGTACTCTACTTCCGGAATATACATACTCTTGTAGATGAACATCTGAGTTTTTATTCCTAGCAGCAATCTGTCCTCTCTCTAGTTGCTTTTTTTCCCCAATTAACATTTTCTATTTATTTTGGTGTCAGTGGCTTTATAACAAAGCAAGAAAATGAAAACTTCAAAGCTTTCTCATAAAAACACTAACTCCAAAAGAATATACTGATGAACACAAATGAACTTAAAATTGTTTCTTCGACTTTTTAATCTGTTTGTTTCTGTGTTTGAGTTGGGATTCTCTGTGTAGTCCCAGCTGTCTTAGAACTCACTATGTTGTCCAGACTGGCCTCAAACCCAGATATCCACCTGCCTCTGCCTCCCAACTGCTGAATTAAAGGTGTGCACCACCACAGCCCTCTTTGACTTTTTAAATGAAAACACAAAAATAATGGACTTGGAAATATTTGGAACAAATTTAAAAAATGGACACAATTTTCTGAACCTGAGCTTCAAAAGACAGCATCAAGATAATGAAAAGCTAATTCCCAGAATAAGTAAAAATATTCAGAGCTCCATCTGATAAGGCCATATACTCAGAGTATGTCGGGCTCTTTTAACTTGGTAAGAATGCCCAATTAGAATATATGAAAGATTAGTGCAGCCTGTTCTCAACAACAACAACAAACACTGGGCAGCCAAGAAGACTTTTTAAAATGTTCAACATTTTTATCACTAGGGAAACGCAGATTAAATTAAAAAAAATGTTGACATCAGCCAGTGTTGATGAGAACATGATGCAGATATAACTCTCAGATATTGGAGAGACTGAAACGATCCCTATGGAAAACACCCAGGCATTTCTTGTATTGTTTGAGACACAGTCTCTTTATCTCGCTCAGACTGGCCTGGGTCCTCCTGTCTCAGCATTACAAGTGCTGAGGCTGCAAGTACTTACCACGCCTGGCTTTGGCATTTCTTATAAAACCAAGGGTACACTTAACATACGACATTATTCCACTCCTTGACATGATCCTCTCCTAGACAGTTCTTCAGGCTGAAGATCTCAGGCTCACAACGGCTATTTTGGCCAGAAACCTCCCTCACAGTCCCCATCATGGAGAAGCTCACATCGTGCAGTGGGCTACCCACAGATGGCTGAGAGAACCAAACTGAACCCTTTAAAATTCAAAACTGAAAAGCACGGCGCTCTCTGTTGTCATAGGGTTTTCACTAAGGCTAGCCTGTCTTCATGAGTGTGAAGACAGAAGGTGGACTCAAGCTCCGCCAATGAGGAGGAACTTGTATTCTTGTTCTTCACTTTTTGCCACTTCTAAAGCATAGACTGTATCCTCATGGCACAGGATGGCTCCATCTTTTACCCGAAAAACAAAACTAAAAAAACTCAACCAGGCTTGGTGGCACAAGCATCCCAGCACTTGGGAGGCAGAGATCAGACTGGTCTACATAGTGAGTTCCAGGACAGCGCCTTGTCTAAACAAAATAAACAAAATTGATTCTGGTCAGTTCCCCCGTCCCCCGAGGCATTTTAGTTAAATAACACAGCTTTCTAATTATTCCCCGAGATCCTGGGTTCATTTAACATACATCCTTGTATCCCAATCTTTGGCTTCAGTCAAGACTCACGTCAAAAACCTTACAATCACTGCACAGGGTAAGACGGATGGAAAGCAGGGTAAATGATGCAACTTCCCATTTAATGTAAACCGCGAGGAAGGCCTCTAAGGCTGCGGAGAGAGCCGCGGAGCCGTTCGGAACTAGAAGGGGGTCTTTTTTCTGCACTCGGCTAACATGAACTGCAGCAGAGGCGGGGAAGGAACGATTCACCCTTGCCGCGGTTTCCGCGGGGAATCGTAAGTGAGGCCCCTTGGCTGACGCACTTCCGACGCGTCGGGACAGAGGAAACCGCTCTGGCTTCCGGGAATACAGAGTCGTGAAAATGGTGGTCACCAGGTCCGGACTGACTGGGACCCCGCTCCAAAAAAGCCCCAAGTCGAAGGTGAGCGATCCCAGGTTCCTCGGATCTCCTCGCCGCTAGGCAGAGCGGCTTGCCGGGGTCGAGGAGAGCGAGGAGGCTCGGCGGGCGGAGGAGAGTGAGGTGGACCCGAGCCTTGCGCACTTGGCACTGCGTCGGGCCCGCCCGGAACCTGATTGGGCCTCTGGGTCTTTTAGGGCACTAACGAGAGTTTAGGTAGCTTGCCTTGAGCAGACGAGGCCTTTTAAACTTACTCTTGAGACAATACCGGGGAAGGTTAATTTCAGCCACCGCACCCGAGGCTAATTTGAGGGATAGGAAGGAGCGTTAACAACTACACGTGGGGAGGCTGACTGTGGCCCAGCACCACATCTTGTGGCATATGCAGGGCGGCTGTAGAGTCTCTCAGAGCCTGATTGTCTCCTGCTGCTATGCTCTTTATATTGTAAGGGATATAGAACAGTCCTTTCCTGTATGTAAAAACCCAGGCTAGCAGCGGATTGTTTTATACACTCTCCATAGATTTATTATCTATGCTGTGTTCTGCCTCCATGTACACCTGAAGGCCAGAAGAGGGCACCAGATCTCTTTATAGATGGTTGTGAGCCACTATGTGTTTGCTAGGAATTGAATCCAGGACCTTTAGAAGAGCATTCTTTGCTCTTAACCTCTGAGCCATCTCCCCCTCCCCTCCCATACACTCTTAAACATACCTGCACAATTAATATTTAACTCCCGAGACCCCTGGGCTTCTATGAATGATTTAGATTTTTTTCCTTTTCATTCTTTTTTTTTTAAGCTTTATTTATATATATAACATTCTATGTGTGTACCTGTGCACCAGAAGTGAGCACCAGATCTCACTATAGATGGTTATGAGTCACCATGAGGTTGCTGGGAACTGAACTCAGGATCTTTGGAAGAACAGCCAGTGTTCTTATCTTAACCTCTGAGCCACCTCTCTAGCCCTTTTTTTTTTCTCTCTCTCTCTTTCTTTAAGTGGAGAAAATTGTCTTTTCGCTTCTGCTTTCTGAAGTCTAGGATGAAGCAAGTAAAGAAAGAATTATTTTATCATGAGTTTGGTTTTGTTTAGTACCTTCTTAACTTTTGCTCCTGGAGATCATGCCGTGTTTGCTTGCTCTTGTCCCAGCCCTATCCAAACTATGTTGTGTTTGTTTCTGGTTTGCAGGGTTCTGTTTCTAAAAGAATTGGGACACATTTAAAAAGCAAGAAAGAATCAGGATCCAATGGCAGCACCACTGAATCACAGACTGATGAGAAACGAAGTTCAGTCCTCTCTAGAAGGACAAAAAGCAGAACTACAGGCCCAGCAGAGATCACTGAACTGGCTACTGAGGGAGAAGCCTCTGAGGCGGAGTCTCATACTTCAGGGATTTCTTATGTGTCTGAGGTCCAGGAGCCCATTATAAGAATAACTAGGAAAAGACGGGTTGTAATTGCACCCACCCCAAAGTCCATTGTTAAGAAAAGGCAGAAAGTAACTCCTCAACATGAATCTCTTGATGGAGAAGTTGTTTCTGAAGCGGAATCTCATGCTTCAGGAGTTTCTATGGTTATATCTTCCACAGAGTGTGGAAGAAATAGGGTTAAATCTCAGAGATATTCAAGCCAAGAGTCGCATGCAGATGCTCTATCTGATGTTGAATCATCATGCTCAGGCATTTCATCACCTGGGATTGCATCTAGAAGAACAGCCAGGAATACGCAGAAAAAATTACAGGCCCAAGATGAGAAGAAGGATACAAAGATTACACCAGAAAATAAAAAGCAAATTGTGGATACATACGTGGATTCAGAGGAATCAGATACTGAACAGACCTCTCAGTTAGCAGGAAGACCAGTTTCTCAGATAAATATGCCAAATATTTCTAATAATGAAACTTATAATGACTATGATTCCATCCGTAGAAATTCAAGGAAAAAACTAACAACACAAAACCATCAAAATTCACATATACAAGAGGAAAAACAAGCTGATGATGTGTCTCTTATAGAAATCAGAAAGAATTGTAAGAGTCTGCATGAAGAGGACACCAAAATAATAGAGGAAAAAGAAATTAATAAGAAAGACTTCCAGTTGAGTCTTTCTGAAGTTGAAGACAGCAGCCTTCAACAGTCAGTTTCTCAGAATCATTCATGCACCCGAAATAATAACAAAGCTGAATCACAGCCTTCAAGTCGACAATACGGGCCTAAAGTGAAATCATTAAAGGTCAAGTCTGCAGTTGTGAAAATAGAACGATGGAATGAAGAGAGAGGGAGCAGTGTGGAAACGAATGGCTTGGCACAATTCGATGATCGTGGTGATAGTAATGCTGAACCCACGAGTGTAGGTGTCAGTGAAGACCAGAACAATCAAAATGTAGTTCTTGAATGTGATACCAGCGTATGCAAGCCTGATGTCAACATGTCCCAGGATATAGATAGTCCTGTTTTATTATTTCCTAGCAGTGATGAAAGTGAACAGTCTGGGTACAGTGAGAATGAAAAGGACACTTTGTGTCCTGTTGAAAGCAGCCAAAAGGAGTCATCAAGTGAGGACTTGCAAGAGGCAGCATGTGATAGTGCGCTGTTTGTAATTGACAGAACTCCTGGATTGAGTTCTGATAAGACTTTTTACCTAGACGACAAGGCTCCAAGTGAAGTTGCTAGCGAAAAAGAAGAGGAGGAGGAAGACGGAAACAGTGAAGACGAATCATCAGACAGTGATGAAAACAAAGATGAGTCTAGTGATGAGGAAGACTTACTAAATAACACAAAGTCGAAACTGTAAGTACTGCCTTTAAAGGTAAATAGGAGAGGTCTTGCTGAGGATTAAACTTTAGCCTTAGCATAACAAACCTGCCCTTTACCACTGAGTTATACCTCAACCCCAAAGTAATTTTTATTAGCATATATTATACATGGCAATGTTTCATTATGTTTTCGTATGTGTATATAATGTATTTTGAGGTTTAATTACCTCTCATACTCCTCAACACTGATGCCTCTTTTCCCACCTAGTCCTCTTTCTGCTTTCATGTCTTTGGGGGACTTAGGTGATCCAGGGAGTTTAATTGCTTACAGGACTGTGGATTAGGGGTTATTTACAGGCTCGTGAGAAGTTTACTAGTGCTATACCATTGAAGAAAATCTGTCTCCCTCCCCCAGTAATCATTAACTGCCTGTAGGTCCTCAGGGAGCGGTGGGGCCTCATGACCTCCTGGACCCTCCATTACAAAATGCTGTGAGTTTAACATCATCGCTCTAGTCCCACTCATCTCACAGCCCCCAGTGTGAAATTCACAAGGAATGCATAAAAAGTTAAAAATGCTGACTCATCCATTCTTGTGCCGGTAATCAACACCAGCTGTGAGTTCTGTGCAACTACATGTCATACCCAGAAGACAGTTCTTTCTCATCACTGTTCCCTGTCCCCTTCCTCCCACTTTTACATTGTCTGACTCCTCTTTTGGAAGAGGTGAGATAAATGTCCCATTTAGAAATGACCATTTTGAGAAAATTCTCAGCACTTTGACCAGTTTGGGTGTTAGTAGTAACTGCTGCCCACTGTTGGGGGCGGGGAGCTGTCTCACCATACCTGAGCATAAAACCTACATATTTATAGGTTATTTTTAATGGGTTCAGAGTGTCTAGCAGAAAAAGTAGTAGGTTCTCCACTAGGGCCTATGATCAACCACAGGCTTTTGTTGAGCTTTCCAGTTCCAAATCCAAGTAGAAAGTGGTTCGTTACCCCAATAACAGTGCACCGACAGGCAGTGTAGCTTCTCTGACAAGTCACTAGTGTAGGGTCTACAGCTGAGTAAGACCATTGATGACTTTTCTTCCCAAGCAGCCTGCATCATACCTTCCAGCACTCGAAAAGTTAGCCAACGGGAAAGATGAGTCTAACTCAGTTCCAGCTTCATTTCTATATCCTGCAACCCAAAGTCTGTGATGCCTTCAGCAGTAGGGTTTTAACATCTAGTTCTTGGTAGGCAACCAAGAGTCGTGGTAATAGCCTTTGTTGTTTTGAGGGATCTCAAGGATCCTCCTTGACCAACAGCTTATATGGAGATGAACCTATCCCTGTTCTGGGATCAGCTTTATTCATCATTTACAACAGTCAGTTTTTGATATGTATGTCAAGTGGTTGATTTGCCCTAAAAGTACAAACAATAGTATATTAGTATACACATTGGAATGTGTGTGAGTTCCACCTGGCATTTTCCTTGTATTTATTTATTTGTGAGACCTTTGGCAGTTGTATTTTCTCACCAGTGATAGCTGAAAGTATTCCTTTGGTAATCTGTTAGAAATCATCTGTGGGAGCTGGGGAGATGGCTTAAAGGTAAAAAGCTTGCCATACAAGTATGAAGACTGGATTCAAATCCCAGCACTCACATAAAATGGGCCAGCATGATGGCCTGCCCGTAATGTCAGTGCTCCAGAGGTAGAAATGGGATCGGCAAGCAAACCAGCCAGCCAGACCAGCTGGGTCTGTGAGCTCCGGGTTCAAGTGAGAGCCCTGCCTCAGTGTATGAGGTAGAGAGAGATCAGGGAAGGAGACCCAAGGTCATGTATGTAGATGCACACTCACACACATACATGTAAACACATAAATGTACAAAAGGTTAGTAAGAACAATCAAAACAGGAACTTTTTTTTTCATGTTAATTGTAGAAAGATCTAGAAATACAGAAAAGTAGGAGAGAAAAATCACCTGTAATACCATCCATTTTCTGTTGAAAGCTCTAATGTTTGAGACTTTTTTAGTAGTCTTCCTGTTTTAAACTTGCTATTTCTAGTTTAGGCGCTGGTTAGCATTAGCCACTAGAAATGTAGGCAGCCATATAAGACTGTCTTAATAGGTACACTGCTCTGGTTGCGCCCACCAAACCATGTCTCAAAAAGCAAACAAAAAAGATGCCCTGTCTCTGAGGTTGTTTGTGTTATTGTTAAGAGAACAATTGCAGGATGCAGGTGTCTCCATTCTGGGAGTCCTAAGGATTGAGAGCCAGGTGCTGCGTGTAGAGATACAGTGTGCCTTTCTGAAGTGTGTCCTCTCCAGTGTGTGAAGTTGAACTGGATTGCTTTTCTTCCTGTTTTAATGAAATCTGATCTGGGGGCTCTGTTTGGATGTCTTCTCTGGTGGTGTTGAATTATTCATCCTAGACTTTCTTCTGAATGAACATAATGTTCATTCAGCGTTTTAGGAACTACACTGTAAACATAAGATGCTCGGGATAGTGTGTGTTTAAACATGCAAACTTGTTTGCATTTTGTCTTAATTCATCTTTAAATCTTTTCTTTCAGTCTGAAGTTGACAAGTAGCAGCATAGACCCTGGACTAAGTATCAAGCAGTTGGGTGGTTTGTATATTAATTTCAATGTAGACAAACTGCAGCAGCCTCACAAGAAAACGCTAACACAGATTAAGGAGAAAAAGAAAAACGAGGTAAGCTACATGAATTGCCACACCCTCTTTGGAAAATGACTACTTTTCCTATGGCAAAACTGCATTGGTCTGTTGTACTCTTTTTCTATTTTATTAGAATAGTTACTCTGTATGGATGGAGTTTTATTTGTAAGAGATAACACTTGAAATAAATTAATTCTAGATCAGCATTATTTCCTTTTTATGTGCCACTTAATGAATCCCAGGGGTCCTGTTTTCTGGCTATATTTTTTTTTAAACAAAAGGCATGTTTTTATTTTTTAAGATTTCTTTATGTATATGAGCGCTCTATTTGCACATATGCCTACATGACAGAAGAGGGCATCAGATCCCATTCTAGATGTTTGTGAAACACTATGTGGTTACTGGAAATTGAACTCAGGACCTCTGGAAGAACAGCCAGTGTTCTTAACCTCCGAGCTGTCTCTCCAGCTCAGGGGCTTGCCTTCCAGGGGTCAAGAACAAGCCATGAGGTTTGGCAACAAGTACCTTTAAAGGGCAAAAATCATCATGAATAGATTAGTGGATTTGCCTATATAAAATTTTAAAGCCTAACTTTAAATGGGGAATAAACATAAAATTATTTTGTATTTTTATAGCTTCTGCAGAAAGCTGTCATTACACCTGATTTTGAAAAAAACTATTGTGTCCCACCATATAGTGAATCAAAGCGTCAACTTCAGAAACAGCGCAGGGTGAGTATAGATTGCTTACATTTGTTTCCATTTTTTATTTTTAGGTTTTGGAATCCTGTGATTGTGCAATTAAGCTATATCTGTGTATTGATCTCTTTATTATACTAAGGGCCATAAAATGTGGTTCCATTAGCATGTTTAGTGTGGTTTTTCATGTCTTTGCAGCCAGGTAGCACATATAAATACAGTTTTTAGTGTTGTGTGTGCTTGGGGATAAATACTAGGGTCTCATGCATGTTGTAAGCATGTGCCCTTGTCACTGAGTTATGCCTCCAGCCCACAAATACAGCTTTTGAAAATAGACCTTAAATGCTTGCTGCCAGCATACAGATTCACCATCCAAACCATTTGGCTTTTAAATACAGTACTGTAGGCAGTGAGCTTTTTTGCATAGGGTTAATACAGCCAACTTAGAACTTGAATCCACTTAGTCTGGCAAAGAATAGCTGTTTTCTTTTGCTTTAGACATAATATAAAGTTCTGGACTTGTTGAGAGGTAAGTAGTCTCAAAGACCCTTATGTAACCGAATTAAAAAATAATGCTTATATACCAGCTCCTAACATGTTTTTATACATTACCTCTTTCCCTGCAAGTCATTGCCAAGGGGGCCTTCATTTATAAAACTGATGCTATGCCAAAGAAATGTTTTCGGTTTTTGGTTTTAAGGATCCTGGAGGTAAATGCTTTCTGTAAAGTTGGGTTTAGGGTTGTTGTTTGTTTTTGTTTTGTCTGTTTAGTTGGTTGGTTAGGGTTTTTTTTTTGAGACAGGGTTTGTCTGTGCAGCCTTGGCTGTCCTGAACTCGCTTTGTAGACCAGGCTGGCCTCAAACTCAGTGATCTGCCTGCTGCTGCCTCCCTGAGTGCTGACATTAAAGGTATGCACCACCATGCCTGGCCCAGGTTTTTGTTGGTTTTTTGTTTGTTTATATCCTAGCTTTGCTAGATACCAGGTGACCACCTTGAACTTCTGATCCTCTGGCCACTAATTACCAAATTCTGCCATTATAGGTGTACATTACCATGCCTAGTTCATGCAGTACTGAAGATCTAACTCGAGGGCTTCATTTATGGTGGGCGAGAACTCTCCCAACGGAGTTACATTTCCAGCCCCTTGTAAATTCTCCCTTCCCAAAGTCTGAATGGGTAGCCCATGTTGGCATCCTGAATTCATAATCATCTAACCCCAGTCTGCCCCTCGATCACAGGTATAACACAACCACACCCAAGTAATTCACATAATTTTCTGTTTTATAATTTTGGGGTGGTTGCCTTTATAGCATAGTAGGCAATGTGTCTAATTTAGGGGAAATAGTTTCTATACTCTTATAAAAAGATAAGTTAGAGTGTTTACTTTGGGGGGTGGAGAGATGGCTCAGTGGTCAAGAACACTTGCTCTTACAAAGGACCAAAGTTTGGTTCCCAGCGTCCACATCAGGGATCTCTTCAACTGCCTATAACTCCAGCTCAGGAAATCCTGCACTCTTTTCACCTTCACAGGCATCTGCACACATACGCATACACACATACATATAAGCAAAACAAATCTTTTGCTTTTTTTAATATTTATTTTTAACTTGTATTTCAGAAAGAGCGACAAAAAACAGCCGGTAATGGTTGGTTTGGCATGAAAGCTCCAGAACTGACAGATGAACTGAAAAATGATCTCAAAGCATTAAAGATGAGAGCAAGCATGGACCCAAAAAGGTTTTACAAGAAAAATGACAGAGATGGTTTCCCCAAGTACTTCCAGGTATGTTACAAAGAGAATGGTTGTTATGTTCTATGGAGAGTAGCATAGCAATGTTGTGTTTACTATTAGAATAAGAAAAAGTTTACACATGCATACCAAACCTGAGGTCACTGACTGCTTAGGCCTTATTATGATTAGAACACAACTCAGACAGCTACCATTTTGTAATGGCTCCTCAATACAGAGAGGCAAGGTTAAAAATAGTAGCTAGGATCAAGGTTAGCTGTATTAAACCTACCAAATCTTTGTTCTGACTGTATGGAGAGTACTAACCTAAGAGTAAAAGTTCATGCAGTTTGTACAGAAAAGGGAAATTATTTGTTGCATTTCTTTTCTTTTTTCAAGGTATGGGGTCATCCCTGGACAGGTGGTGAAAGCTATTCAAAAGTTGCTTTTTTGGTGTCTCCCTGATAAGCTGAGCATTCAAGTTGATCATGTTTCCACTCTTCTCAACCCTTTTCTTCTCATTTGGCTTATAAGTTTCCAATTTTCTTTCCCTCTGGCTTCATTGTATCTAGTTTTGTATTCTGTAATTTATTTAAATTCTTTTTCATGTTATACTTCTAAGAAACTAAGTAATTCTTGGTGATCTTTGGGGTAGCCTATCACTTCCTTTGGACTTTCATAATCTGTACCTAAACTAGTTTGCTAACTGGATATTGACTGCTCTTAAATTTCACCACACTCAGCTACCAAGCCTTCTCAGCGTATGCAGTCTTATCTGTTCTTTGACTGTACTCCCTTATTTGCTTGGTAAACCTTTACCTATGTAGAGCCAAGGTAAATGTCATCTTTGTCATTCTTAACTCCTTTAGTAAGCCTAGTCACTAGGTCATCAGAGCCTTGTTTAGTGTTTTGTTCCATGTGTCATTTGTACTGTAATGTGTTTTAGTTTCTGTCTGCCTCTTCGTAAGATTGTGACCCCTCACCGGCCCGAACTAGATGTTCTTCTAGGTCCTTGTTTTCTCTGTCACCTAAGCACAGTGCCTGGCACATAGTGATCATCCTATAAACTGCAGTCAATTACATGAACAAATGTAGAACCTTTATCAAACAGGTTCTAGGCTGCAGTGTTTATGATAACCTCTAAGATCAAATACACGTGTAGAATTTATATGTACACCATTGAATTAGATAGCAGAATTTATTTTGTACTGTGTATTCATCCATGGATTTACTGTTTAGCACTGCAGTATATAAAATTTGGACCTACTGTTTACTCTGGGTAAATGTCATCAGTAGCACCAGTATACTGGCTAATAGGTGATTTATTTTTGCTTTTAAAAATGGGCTAATTTTAATACATGTGTAATGTAAGATTGGGCTTTCTGTTCCTTCCTACAAAAAAACCTTTAGATCTGCACTGAAATATGGAGCACCTTAACATCTAGGTACTGCATGACTTATTTCTATTAATTTCTCTTAGGTTGGAACCATCGTTGATAATCCAGCTGACTTCTACCATTCACGAATTCCCAAAAAACAGAGGAAAAAGACTATTGTGGAAGAACTTCTGGCTGATTCTGAGTTCAGGAGGTAATTTACATTTTATTTTTATAATATGTGTGCTTTTCTTTAAATACACATGCTTGTAGATTACATTTGGTGACTATGTTTTTATGAGAACAATAACAAAAACAAGTTAGTGTTTGGCATAAAAAAAGTTAGAGCCTCATATCTGTTTCTGCCAAACCACAAGTCACGTAGCCTGTAAACTGCACTTGCACCCTGCTGAGAACGAGGGTGAAAGGGGGTAGCCTTGGTGTTCTTGTGAAAATATATTTTATCAAACCTCTTACCCGCTGAGCAGACTTTTAAAATCATTTTTGTTTTGTTTCTTGAGACAGGTCTCTTGCTATGTAGCTCTGGCTGTCCTGGAACTCAGATTTCCTGCCTCTGCCTCCCATGTGTACACTATCAATATTACTGTTTTCAATAAGTAACTGTTTTGCTTTGTCCTTTTTATATTTTTACCTCATATCTATACCTAGATCTACATTATCTGGTAAGTGGATATTGGTTTTTAATTTAACAAACTCCGGTTCAGTTTAGTGTAGATCTGCAACTCCAATGATTAGGAAGCTGAGTAAGAAGTTGTCAGTGAGGTCAGCGTAGGATACATCGGAGTTCAAGGCATAGCAAGACACCATCTGAAAACCTAAGTAAAGCAAGTTGCAGACTGAGGACAGAGACCAGACTGCTGCCTTGTCCACTGCTGTCCTCAGCCTCCTGATGCTTGCTGGCAATGTGGTTTATACAAGATGATTCTATGCAGAGCATTGTGAGATTTAACCTCCTCCCTAAAAGTTGTATTAACTGTGAATGCCTGATACACTAATACATTGTGCTTTAGAGTAAAGGCTTTTTTCTTCTTTTCAGATTTAATCGAAGGAAGTATTCAGAAATCATGGCTGAAAAATTAGCAAATGCAGAAGGAAAGAAGTTCCGAAAAAAGAAGAAATTTCGAAATTAGATCCCACAAAGCAAATCATAGCATTTTATAGATACCCTTCATTTGCTGAAGAGCATCACATAATTTATATAAATATGTATAAATATTTAGTGATTTCTGTTGGAAATAAAGCTGACTGACAGAATCAACCATGTGACCCTTGGAATAAAAATAGGTGTAATATCTGGTTTTAGACTGTTAAAGGGAAAATAAATATCAACTATTTTAGTATGTTTTCACTACTTGGTTATTTAAAGAAAATACAATTAGTAAATAAATAGTACAAAATCTGCTTAAAGAACTTTTTGAAATGATAAAAAATGTGTAAATGTTATTTTTAAAAAAGTATGTGGGGGTGGAGAGTGTGTTGAATGTAGGCTTATGCTTACCTGCTTTTTCCAGTGTAGAAGCTACAGAGTGTGTGGTACGCTAAGGATTCCTGAAGCAAACTGTTGAGATACGTGCATAAACAAAGAACTAAGAAAGCTCATCCTGGAACTAAGCTGAGACCATCCCTGGAAAATCTGGGATAAAAGAAGATGCAAGAGGCCTGGAGCTTTTTCCTGGCAAATGAAATAGGAATGAATCATTCCATTCAGTTCTAAGTAAATAGGGTTAAGCAGTAGGATTTTCTCTTGGCCAGTAGGTCAAATAACCCAATTTACCTCCTATTGCTCAGACAGGCACCCAAGCTTCCTGGTACCCAAGCAGTGTTGTCAATGCTTCTTGGCTGTAGCTCCTTTATGTTAACAATTGGAACCCTTATTTCAGTAGCTAGAAAATCTTACATTTTACCTTCACTATTTGGGGTCACAAGCAACCTGATCTATACTTCCTTTAAAGAAAAAAACAGTAATTTGTGTTGCCTCTGTGTGATAACTGCATGTGGGAGAAGAAGGGTAAAGAGTATACATCTACCAGGAGACTCTTGGTAAACATGTCTTGACTAAGGCTGGGGGGAACCTGCTGCTCTATGATTTCTGTGCTGTGAATACTAGCACACACTGAATAATTCTTTGCTTCAAAACAGTAACGTTTTTGTGTATTTACTTAGTTACAATTTTCCATTAATGCTCTTTCTGTCATTATTGACTTATTTTAACCTTTTGAAAACTTTTTATTTTTTATAAGGAACTTGTAGTTTGTCTTAAATGTACCTCAGAGGCCTATGGTACTACTGTGAGGGGGTAAGGACCTTTAGGAGGTGGGCCCTACTGAAGTTAACTCTTTGGGGACAGGGCCTTGTAAGAGGGAAATAAACCCCTGTCCTCTTCGCCTTTTATTCTCTGCAGCCATGAGATGGCTGGTTTTGCTTCTATACATTTCCTTCCTACTATGGACTTCCTGCCATTGGCCCAAAGTGACCACAGATTGACAACCTGTGAAACAAAGCCAAAACAGGGAATTTAGTTACAGCGGTGGAAAAGTTCCTCTTTCCTACTTATTTGTAGTAAAGTAGGGAATGCTTAAAAATTACTTCTATCAAGTAAAATGAAGTCACTCAAGAATAATCTAAAGCCACCTATTAACATACTATGTGTATGGTCATTTCAAGTTTATTTTAAATCTTCCAAAGCAGAATAGTGGTAGAAATCCTAGCACCCTGAAGTGGAAGCATTGAAAAGTCAGCTTCAGCTACAATATGAGTTTGTTTTATATGCAATGCTGTCCCAAATAACAAAAAATCTAAACCATAAAAATGATGTCTTAGTATTGTAATTATAAGAAGGTATTGTGAGGTATCCACCAGAGAAGATTGCTCAGGCATGGGTTCCAGCCATAGAAAGCATTACTCAGCCAGTGACTGTAGTGCAGTCCTGAGCCTTTCTCAGAGTGGGCTTTTAAGCATAAGAGCCACATCCTGGGTTGAGAACACCTCAGTGAGGACAGCCATATGTGGAACTACAGAAGCCAAAAAGCAAGGTTAGTACATGATGGATTAGGTCCTTGTTTTGCCTATGTGCTGGATTTTCATGTTTGAATGGTACTTCCATCATAATGTCAGTTGTGTTAAGGTCTGGGGTCCTGTAAAAGAGGTAGGAACTTATTTTTGTTACATTTTTATTTGTGGATGTGCATGTGCTTGCATTGGCGGTCAGAGGACAACTATGAGAGATGGTTCTCTCCTTCCACCATGAGGGTCCCAGGGATCAAACTCAGTCCATCAGCCTTGGACACAGCTTCTCTTAACCTATTGACCCATCTCATCTGCCTGGAACATCTACTTTTGGTCTTTGTCAACCTGCAAGTATTTGCATATTTCAACTTAGGATGGGGTTCTGTTCTAATAAATAGTTTAAGTTGAAAATAGTGTAATATGGAGATTCATCTGATCTAATGTAAGAAATACAGGCTTACCTAGTTTCCCTGAAATGCTCAGAACATGTACACACTCATCTAATCTATGCCCGGCATTACAAGAATCATCACTGTCCAGGAAAAGAACTCAAAGTACAGTTTCTGCTCAATACACGTTGCTTTCTCTCCAGTTCTAAATCAGACTTGTAAGGGACCATCTGCATTTGAAAAATGGGCAAATTCGACTTGGTTTAATTAGTGTACACAAAACATAACTCAACAATTATTATTAGGCTTAATGACTACAGCTGGGTGTGAAAAAGTAGAACATCAATACAGTCCAAAAACCTGCATCTGTCTCCTTAGCGTCAGTTTTTCCTTCTTTTACACTTTCTATCTTTCCTTGCCCTGTTCTTCCATTCTACAAACATTCATACAGAAGCTGTTCTATTCTAAATACCAACACTACATCTTTAGGATGTTCCAGAAACCTCAAAGTCAGCTATGCATGTCTGAACTCATCATTCTCGCAATCATTCCTGTATTTTTAATTTTTGCCTCAGTTATGTCAGAATTCATCCACTGACCTGTAGTGAGAATTTTGGTTTCTTTAAAAACAGATATAAGAACATGTTTTTGTTTTAATCCCAGGTGTGGGGATATGGGGCTGCTTTGCAACAGCTGATTATGATTTGCCTCATGCTCTGGCAGGATTGTGATTTTGTCAGCTGCAGAGAGTTTCTGCGACTGTGTGATGTTTGGAATTCTGGGGACTTTTTATGCTAGGGCCCTGAGAGGTGGGATGTGTTGATGGTTGCTGTTGGTTGAGGTTTGTTAAGTAGCTGTTCGAAACAAAAAGAAATCAGACATCCTGACGGAGAAGATCAAAACTGCCCCAAGGAGCCTGACACCCCTCATCAGCAGGAAGTGGTCTAGCAATAATGTCCTTCCTTTTCTGACCCTGACTTTATTCATGGATCTCTTACCTTTCCTCTCTATCCTTCTTTCTCTCATATCTAGTGTTAGGCTGAAATGGTGGGAAAAGTGAAGGGTGGAAAAAAGAAGAGCCTACAAAGTAGCAAACGTAGGCTACACTGGCCTAATTAGAATCAGCAAATCTATGGCATAGAACTCGCTATCTCTGCTCACCTGTATCCCTTAGTTCAAGGCTGGTTCTGGTAAATAGCTCTAGTTTATATTCTCAGCCTTCTCCAGCCACCTCCCTCATTCCAGCTCTCGACATTTTCGTGTCTTCAACAGCCCTAGTCCATGGTCTACACTGCAGCAGAGGAATGATACAAAACAGGTCATACTGCTTCCCAGCTAATAACTAGTCAACGTTTTCCCGTGGCCTTTAGAATAAGTACACACTCAACAACGATGGATGAAACATCTGGATATGGTCCTGCGTGGACTCTTAAAGTTTGGGGGCTTTGTTTGTTCATTTGAGTGTTTTGGACAGGGTCTCACTTTACAGCTGTTGCTATCCCGGAACTCACTAGACAGACTAGGCTGGCCCCGTGCTTACAGAACCACGAGACTCTGCCTTCCAAGGGCTGGGATCAAAGTACTCCACCACAGCCAACCAGTTCTCTAGTTCCTAGTGACAGGGTCTCCTACAGGTGCTTATCAGATGGCTCCTATACCTCAGTAATTTAAAAGGTGGCTTCCAAAGCATCCACGTATCACCGAGGCCTGTATATAGAGCCCAATAAATGCAGACTAGGATGAAGCTCAGTTGGTAGCTTGTTCAGCATGCACAAAAGCCTGGATTTGATCCCTAACATCACAGGAACTAGTGGCGATACTTGCACTCAGCAAATAAAGATAGGGGAATCAACAGTTTAAGGTTTAAAGTTTTTCCTCAGCTGCATAGTTTAAGGCCAGACTGGGCTACATGAGATGTCTAAGTAAATGCAGAGCTTTGGGGAAGAAATTATAACAAGAGGGCTTTGAGCCATCTTTGGATTAATCCTTTGATGGGCTAACAGAAGATGGTGGAAACTTAGGACTTTGTTGACAGCAGGTTCTTGAGAACAATCTTTTGGGAAATCTGTATCTTCCTTCTGCTACCCCTACCCCACCTTCTGTCTGCTGATGTGGCCTGCCTTGTTCCATACACTTTCCCCTGTCATGGTGTTCTGTCTCAATACGAACAGAGAAGCATCCACACCACATAACCATAGGCTAAACTGAGATTGGACAGCACGATTTATGATTTGGGAACAACAGAAATGAATCCAAGTTACAACACTTGCATTTCTGGGTAGTGTACATGTTCTGAGCTGTATTCTGAACCTATGAAGCTTTTGCCTCGGCCTCCAGAGCAGTTCAGATTCTAAACCTGTGCCTTCAAGCCAGGCTCCAAGCATATGGTGTAAGCATGAACAGGAAAGGCAAGGCTCTGTTTATTGGCTTGTCAGCATAAGAGCAAAAAGGAGCTAACACTGACCAAAGAGGTGACTGGGCTGCTAGTTCAACGAAATCAAACAGTAAGCTTCTGACTTTTCTGGATGGACTAAAGTTTAGTCATTGTCTATTAGTCCCAACATGGTTTCAAAAGACCACACACACCCACACACAAACTCCTTATTTGGTGGGCTAATAAAACACCCTGGTCTCATGGTTTATAGAGACTGTAAGTACATAAACTGCCTAGAAAGTACAAGCGTAAGATAGAAGAAGCACCAGCTCCAACAGGCAACAGGCTAAGTTATACTAGTGTTGGACAAATTGGACAAAACATTTTAAAAGCAATAAACATTTATCGAATGTAGAGCTGACGGAGAATTAAGACAGCAAAGGGACAGACACTATAGGAAGACAGATGCCAAGCCTTTCTATCATGTTTATCTAGCAGTTATTTGTAGGCTTCAGTGAGGAATAGCTAAAGTTCATTCATGTTTCTGCAGAGTAAACCCGGCAACCATTAC